ATGAATTTTGAGTGAGTTCGGAGCCTGATTAACTCTCAACTTACGCTACGAATTAAAAAACTCGTCTAAATAGCGCGTGTAAATTATCCCGAATACTACAAAAAATTGAGTCAAACAAAATAATCTGTAATTTGACAACGAAGCTAACAAGGGATAGTCAAAAAGATACGGTTGAAGATTAAATTCAACTAGTTTCTAGTCCGCATAAATAAGACACTGAACTAGAGGTCAACACATAACAGCTAGACAGACCTAGACTGATTGACAAGCAGGTACCAAATTCACACTTAATTGTAATATGAGAACTCTCAGGGATATAAATAATAATGGATAGCAACTAAATTGATTGACATCTAAATATGTAGCCCCTCACATTTCGGTACAGATGTAAAATTTAAATACATAGTAATTTAAATTTAAAATAATACGTAATGACCTTCAACCTGCCGCCACAACTAACGCATCAAAAACAATAACTTTGAGTTTTAGGCTTATGGCCATCCCTCTCCCTTTTTTTTGTCGACCTTTTTTTTAGGTCGACCCAATTGATTTTCTGAGCCCTCCCAAATCACTATAAATACCCCCATTTTGACCAAATTTTTCTGCGCCGCCGGCAAGTTTTTGAAAAAACAGGCCAAAAAATGTGCTTTTAGGCAGTTTTCGGAAAATTTTGACCAAAACATCGCATTTTTTGGGCGCGCGCTCCTCCCTCAGAAATTGGTGTATATTGGCGCCGAAGGGTATTTTGCCAAAATTTCAAATCTCAAAATAGTACGAAGGGGGACCCTTTGGGTCGGCAGTGGGTCGAAACCCTGAGTGGGGGGTCCGCCTTCTCCCCCCTATATCCGCTACTGGTAAATGTATCCAGTATTTTTCCCATTTTGTCATTTTTCAAATCCTACTATTTTACAAGACATAATTCAGGTAGATTTTTTGTTCTTTTTAGCTTTTATTTATTATTCAGAGGATTGGTGGTGAAGTGCATAATATTTCCTCTCATTCGAAAGGTCGGAAAGGTCGCTTGTTTGTGATCCACCAAGATTTGGAACTGATTCGTGAGTTATCAGCAAAAAAAATAAGAACAAAGAGAACTGGTTGAAATTTTTGGGCAAGAACAGGAAAATAAAACGCCTTAAGCAGGAATGATTAATTCGTAAGCTGTCCTTTCCCTTGTAGACAACTGGTATTGAAAAATTCATCTAACTTTAATAGCGTAAATCTAAATAATGCAGCTCGAATCGGGTTGAAGCCGTATATGCTATGGCAGATTTTGATTATTGCTTTTCAAATTAGCTTTTAGTTTAGATAATTATCAATAAAAAAAATTTATGCAGACAAACTCTTATTTTTCCCCTACTCAAATTTCTTTCATCAATCAGGACCTGGCTGGCCAAATTTAAAACAGAGATGAAGCGGAGCTTCGCAGCACTTCCGACACGACACGAACAGAGCATTGTAAGCTAGTAGACAGAATACAAGATGAAAATCAATTAAAATTATTTATAAGTTCGGAAAAAATAATCTACAAAAATTCAATACATTTCTCTCCCATTAGGTTCAATTTGAAAAAAACTGGTCAAAAATCTCCATCACCAGCATCAAGTTTCAAATCAATGACCGGGCGGCAACAAAAACCAATAATATTTAGAGACGCCATATGTGCCAAAAATAAAATGTTGTCAAAGAAAGTGTTTGAGCTAAAGTCCTTCAAAACTTGACCTTTCAGCGCTCAATAACCATGCAAAAAATTGTTGTCTTTCAAACAAATTGTTGTCTTTCAAACAAATTGTTCTTAATGTGTTCTCTTTCAAACAATACAAAAAGATGTAGTTTAGCCAATATACTACTAACCAGTTAAGCAAAAACAATTGAGCGACAAAAGAAAACATAAAAAAATTATAAAAATCAATTTGGTGAATTAACAAACACAAACGAGTTCCAACAATTGTTGAAATATCTTAAATCAGATGCAAAATGATGCTTTATAAAATTCACGTTCATTCGTTGGAAAGTAAATTGACAAAAATAAGCAGGCATGCTATAGTACGACAAATCCAGTTTTCTTGGAAAAATTGTTCAAAAATCGAGATAAAACCTGGCACGGACTTATTCGTTAACTTTAGACCAAGTCAAAAAGGGCGTGAAAAAACTTCAAGTTTCATAACAACGGAAATTCAAGTTCTAACATATTTTTAAGCAAGGTGAATTACGAAAAAAGTCCAGTTTGCAATTACAATAACGCTTGCTCTCGCAAGAGCAAAAACAATTAGTTTGGCTCAATTAGGAACTTATTTGAGCGCAGTTGGATGTGTTGCGTTCATGTTCTAGATGGAAAAAAAATGAAAATAAAGGGTCCAAGCATTTGTTTGACTAGCCAATTTTATTACAATCATAGCGTTACAAAAACACCTCGTAACTCAAAGGAGACAAAGGTCGAAACGTAAGGATAATTAATTTGTTGAAAAACTTAATAATAATAATCTTCAGTTTTTTCAGATGCAAAGTTATTTTTAGCAAAAGTTACCAGAATTAACAAGAAACAAACTTTCTGGCTATTGTTAGACCTGAAATAATGAACACGAAAAACACTTTTTCTCAGATTTTCCCACACGCTATTAAAAACAAAATGATAATTCTTGTGTATTGAAGAACAATTAGCATGCCTCAAATGAAATTTGAGTGAGTTCGGAGCCTGATTAACTCTCAACCTACGCTACGAGTTAAAAAAACTCGTCTAAATAGCGCGTGTAAATTATCCCGAATACTACAAAAAATTGAGTCAAAAAAATAATCTGTAATTTGGCAACGAAGCTAACAAGGGATAGTCAAAACGATACGGTTGAAGATTAAATTCAACTAGTTTTTAGTTCGCATAAATAGGACACTGAACTACAGGTCAACACATAACAGCTAGACAGACCTAGACTGATTGACAGGCAGGTACCAAATTCACACTTAATTGTAATATGAGAACTCTCAGGGATATAAATAATCATGGATAGCAACTATATTGATTGACATTTAAATATGTAGCCCCTCACATTTCCGTACAGATGTAAAATTTAAATACATAGTAATTTAAATTTATTATAATACGTAATGACCTTCAACCTGCCGCCGCAACTAACGCATCAAAAACATTAACGTTGAGTTTTAGGCTTATGGCCATCCCTCTCCCTGGGTCATGAGTTTTAACTGAGTTTTAAGATTTACTTGTTTCCTTCCCTCTGAATATTTTCCTTTCTTTTCCACACCTTGGATACTGTCTAGCATCACTCCTCCCATTTTATCGAATGGCAAATGCTTCCTTCTTCTTGTGCTCTTCCTTGCTCCCGGTTTTGCTTTTGTTCCCGCTCCGTGTTCCGTCTGGATTAATCTACTGCTACTTGGACCTTGTCCCGCCGCAATTGCCTCGTGCCTTGCCGAAACTTCGACTGGTAGTCGTGCTGGTATAATATTGACTGGCCGATAATTCTCACTGTTCGAGCTGTCAGACTGGTATGTGGCTACAGGTACTGTTTGCTTAGCTTTTGGCCGCTTTGATTTTGGGCTCTATATTGCCCCCTTCTTCGCACTCATTAGCATTTCTTTGAGTGTGACCGGCTTGCGTTTCTTGGGCAGGGTATTCTTGGGCTTTACTGCCACGGCACTTTTCCTAATCACAGACCCGCTTTTCAGCTTGATGGTATGTTTAGACTCGGAGATTACATTAGATTTTAAGAGTTTATACCGATTTAAGGTTCTGCTGGTAGTACGCTGATATAAATCGCCTGCATCTCCACTCCCTTGAATTGTAGGCTCAACCCACGATTCCTCCCCTTGGCGCGTTTTCATCTGCTGATCGCTATCAAGAATTAGCGGTGCCTTTCTTAGCGCCGGAGCGTACATCAGATCCGATTTTCCTCCCAGTTTGAACGCTGTGGGAATGCAATGGTGCTCACTTCAGGGTCATTTTCGTCTAAACACAAACATTTTTGTTTTAAGACTTTCTTCCAATTGAGATTTCTCAGACTCGGTTTTTTCGTAAGATTGCGTAAAACGGTGTTCGCCTCCCGGCCGTGGTGGGCTTCAAAAGGTGTTAGTTTAGTCGTTGCATTTTTAGAAAACCGTAACGCGCCTAGCGCTTTATCGACCAGAGATTCCAGAGATTTATGCTCTTTTTCAGATGCATAAGTGAGGACAAAATTCTTCAGGCTTCCTATCGTTCTTTCCACTGAACCCGTACCCCGATGATCATTCACTGGGGAGTACACTAACTCGATGCCTTCGCTGTTGTAGAGGCTTTTAAATTTATTAGATGTAAAACATGATCCCTGATCGACGTGGATTTTCCGAGGTACTCCATGTTGGGTGATGTATTTATCAAGAAGTTTTAAAACTTTATTGACATCTAAATATGTAGCCCCTCACAAAGCCGACAAGATCCGTGATGTGGCCACAAGCGGACAAAACTTGAGCAGCAAACAAAAGTACGACATTTCAATTTCTATCGAAAAAAATGTCAATTGCAAACATGCTAAAAAAAGGTCAATCGGAACTCGAACCCCTAACCGTTGGGTGCAAAAGCGACGGCGTTACCTCCAGGTCAAGTGGGAATGAACCTGAAAATTCTTAAGCTTCAAAAATAAAGCAAGTAAGATTTAATAGAAAAGTTGTTTACGGGAAAAAAGTCTAGTTCCAGATTAAAAGACACTTGCTTTCGCAATGTAATGAAACTGAAGACACTGAAAAATTGTTTGACTTAGGGTTGAAAAAGAGCTCGTCATAACACAAATGACCGAAACCACTCATCGGATATTCAATGCAAATAATGTCATCTGGTACTAAAATCTAGGTATATGGGAGCCAGCACTGGGCGTTGTTGGGCTCCACACAATAGCAATATGCTTCTTCAAAGATTTAAGATAACTCAATCGCAAAGCCAAACACCAAACATTTTATCACCAATTGGCAATCCTTTATGGTGTATTTGGGGCCACTTGAACTGTTAGAAGTCAACGACACTACGGTTGAATATTCTTCATCGCAAATCTTCAAAATGGTTCAATTCAACAAACCCGATGCTGATTCTGTTTTCCGCTCTCCTCTCGGTCCTTACGACTACTCGCAGGAAAAATGGGATTCCCTCACTTCTTTTCTAGAAGATATGTTCAGACGGAAGCATCCTTCAAGTCAAATATTCGAGGTCGCTTCAGGAATGACAATGACGTACAGTGAGCTTCTAGAGGTAGCAGAGACGGTTGCGGCTAATTTAGCACTTGAAGGTAAAATCGTTCATGTAGCGCATGCCGAAATTTTCTAATTCATACATTTGACGTAATTCAAATAACTTCAACCAAAATCACCTACCAAAAAAAAAGAAAAAGTTTCTCATAACTAACTAAAATCAATTTATTCTCTTTTACGCTTTGTAACCTTTCAAACTCATTTGACAAATTCAAAATACAGACGATGCAATCAATGTTTCTGAAAAAGAGGCAAAATCGTATTTCACTCAAAATTTTGTGGTCCAATAAATTCATATAATTTCAGATTGATTAAGATATAGGGCTCAATTCATTGTGTTCTCAATAATTCTCAAATCGTTAAAAACATAATATTTCACGAAATCTGAGGCAACATTTCTTGGATTTTGTTTTCACCCACCACTAGATATAAATGCATCCCAATTATAGTGAAATTGCTCAAATCAGAATAAAATTTCATGCTGGGTTGAACTTGGCCGAAAAAATTACAAAAATGATACCCAACAACAAAATTTTTCCCAGCTGAAGATTTACAAGTTGAGCTTGAGGCCGGATTCCAACCCAGAAGATCTTTGTTGTTCTCAGCATGTGCGTTACTTTTACGCTAGCCCACCAATACTTTTAAGCTTGATGTGCCAATTAGATAAATTTATGAAATCTGTGAGCGGGAAGTTTTCGATAAAGAAGTCTGCCTAAAACCCAGTTGCAATACCATAGCTAATAATCGCAAGGCTAAAAAATAATATGACGCTTCCTGGAGCTAAAATATGTCATTACTCTCTAGTTCCTTCTTTTTGGGGCCCGATACCTGATTTTGCACAAAATTAAAAGACCCAGCCTAAACCCTCCCCCCTCCAAAACAACAATTGCTTTTGGATTTCAGAAAAATAGCAAACAGACTACCCACAAATAAAAAAGCCGCCTTTGAAAGTTTGAAAAACGCAAAATATTTATTCAGAATATACAAAACAACAAGATTTTGAGCATTATAGTCCGGGCATACTATCAAACCCATCAGAAGGCTATCAGAATATGAAGATTTTTAGTCGCCTTGCAAGGACCTCCTCCCTCCCCCGATAATTAAGCAACAAAGATACGACTACTTTCAGGTATTCCCCCGAGAACCATCGTTCACATTGTGTGCGAGAACAGTTTTGATTGGATAACGACTCTGTTCGCATGTTATTTGAATGACTGCATTGTTGTCGCCAGCAACTCAAAGTCACCGTGGCCAGAATGTGCTCGGAATATAGAAACAAGTTGTTCTACCGTTCTTATTTTGTCGGCAAAATGCTTCGCAAGGTATACTTTTTTGATTATTGATACTACCATAACAACAATAATGTTTTGATGTTGGAAAAAAATCTTATTTTTGGGAATCTGAAAAAGTCAGATTTGAAACCATAAATTACTCCTAATCAGTGGGGATTTTCTCAAATATGGGAAACTTGATCATTAATAAATATGCCGACGAAGGCACCTTAGGAGATATTGTAGCGTTGGTCATGCCAAAAACCGATGCCGTAAAGTGCTATCAAAAGGGGGAACCCTGGGTGGCCAGAGTTTTGGGTTCTTGAGAGAAGGGGCATCCTCCCCTATTTTCCTGTTATTACGGGTTTCTTGAAATACACCGGAATCGGGTTCTCGTGTTGCCTCCGAAGGCTCCTTTAGAAACATATCTGATAGAAAAGATGTTATCTTTTTCAGGCTCAAAATTTTTATTTCAGGCTCAAAAATGAAATAGACCACCCTTTCTTGACTCATATAATTGACATTGAGCCAAATTTAGCCAAAGAGAAATACGATCCACAGTTTAACTTCACTCGAAGAGAGACGCTCAGATCTCCCGTGTACAACAGAGAAGAACTGCAGGACATTTGCAGCATGTTATTCTCTTCAGGAACTTCAGGAGTTCCGAAATCGATCAAAATAGTCCGGAAGAGTCTGATTAGCGGTTGCTTGACAAATACGTTTCCAGGTTTTGCTACACAAACTCACCAGGATGTTACCCTAGTTGCTCAACCCATTGCCCACATTGGTGGACTAACGATCTTCTTTTTTTCTGCTTTCCAGGGCGCAAACTTGGTTATCACTGACTATCCAGGATCAACTGGGCTTCTTCAGGTTATCCAAAAGTACCGGATAACTTTTTTCTTTGCAGTTCCGTCAGTTTTGCACTCTTTGGCTAAAATAGATAATTTGGAAAGTTTCGACTTAGCATCCATTCGAGTTATTTTAACCGGCGCTACAAGTCCTAACTTTGAAGTTATAAAAACTTTGCAGAAAAGGAGTGGGAATGAAAATGTGACAATAAAACATGGATACGGTGCCACGGAAACGTACGGTACAACCTTTATGACGAATGAAAATTTCGAGACATGCATTGAGTCCATAGGATTAGGCTTGCCAGGGGTCAACTTCCGAATCGCCGATTTGAAGGACCCTACAACATTCATAACAGAACCTAATCTTGAGGGTGAATTACAAACCAGGCAGTGTCATCCTTATTTACTATATTTTAACGACCCCGAAAAATCAGCGACAGCTTTGACCGACGATGGTTTCTACAAAACGGGGGATTTGGCTTATCTCATTCGAGTTATTTTAACCGGCGCTACAAGTCCTAACTTTGAAGTTATAAAAACTTTGCAGAAAAGGAGTGGGAATGAAAATGTGACAATAAAACATGGATACGGTGCCACGGAAACGTACGGTACAACCTTTATGACGAATGAAAATTTCGAGACATGCATTGAGTCCATAGGATTAGGCTTGCCAGGGGTCAACTTCCGAATCGCCGATTTGAAGGACCCTACAACATTCATAACAGAACCTAATCTTGAGGGTGAATTACAAACCAGGCAGTGTCATCCTTATTTACTATATTTTAACGACCCCGAAAAATCAGCGACAGCTTTGACCGACGATGGTTTCTACAAAACGGGGGATTTGGCTTATCTAAATGAGGATCTAAATGTGATGATCTCTGGACGAATCAAAGAAGTGATCAAATTTCGTGGGTTTTCAGTTTCACCAGCTGAAATTGAGGCAATTTTAACGCAGCACCCGTTAGTTCAAGAGTGTTCAGTTGTCGCAAAACCCAAAGAAGCAAACGGCGAAATCCCAGTTGCTTTTGTCGTACTGAAGTTTCCGGATACAGCTGGCACAAACGAAGTCGAAAAAGAGCTGATCGCATTTGTGGCAGAGTCGTTGGCCGATTTCAAGAGGATCCATCGTGTTTATTTCATTGATGACATTCCAAAAAATGGCAGCGGAAAAATACTCAAGCAAATGCTAGTCAGGAAATTCCAGAAAGAATGAAAAAAACTTTCCGTTTTTTTTGAGGTCACTGATTACACTTTTTGTATCCAGAAAAATAATTTGTATAACTTTTAATGTCTGTTGCCTTATATAATCTCGCGAAAATACAAGGTAAGAAAGAAAGACGGCTAACCTGTTGCTGTGCAAGTTGCAAAAGGTATGATCATAATCACAAAAATAGGGGGTGTAATTGTTAAGTAGAAGGGGGGTGTAAAACAAGAAAGGGGGCGCAAATGTTAAGAAGATTAATTTGGTCGAATTTTCGACCTAACAGGCTGCAGCAAATTTTGAATTTTAAATAGACCACTCTAGTGCTAATTTACAGCTTTTTATAGGGGGGGTTCTTTAGTAGATACCATAGGGGGCTATTGTTAATTAGATCCACCAATTTTTCTCTACACTGGAACACCAACTTTTTTATTTAATTTTGGTATCCGAATCACGACGGTCTTTTTTGAGGTGTCCAAAGTGTGGCAAAAAAATATCAACTTACTCCATAATGACTCAGCGCATTATACCGCTCGCACTCGAGTCGAATGTTAGTGCATTAGCTACTTGCCAAACCGGATTAAGGACAGACGTAAAGATAGAGAGCAGCCGTAGCCGAGTGGGTTGCGCACACGTCTCTCAAAACGAAGGTCATGCATTCGATTCTCACTTCGGATACTGTTGAAGGGGTCCCAGTGTCATCCGTCTCCTCAAAGTGGGACCGGCTGCAGCGAAATGGATGACATCTCCTTCCCCCACGATTGGTTTGGCACCGAAGCATACATAGAGGTGAAGGTGCGATTCAGTATTTGATGCCAAAAGCCTTGAATTTGGAAAAACTTTATTGCAAATTTCAAATCTCAAACTACATTCTGTTTTTATCAAAATGAAGCCCTTAAGGTTCCGGCTTCTTTTAAAATTAAAAAAAATTTTGCTGAAGAATTTGATAAAATTTTAATTTTTCTTTATCTCTTAAATGATTTTTTATTTTAACACTCCTTCCAAACCCATACGCGCGGAAGACTTTCTAGAAATTTATATTTTTTTGCCTCTGTTAAACTGCTTTAAGAATTCTGTTGCTTGCCTCAATCCACTTTGGAAAAATTACGCCTGCAAATCGGAAAACCGTTTTTTTTCCAGTTTAAAAATTAGTTTGACAGCATCACGAAGGCTTTTCTCAGCTTATTTTGGTAGTGCAATTGTACATTAAGTTCGATATACTAAAATAAATCATATTGCGTGGAGATAAAGACCACACTTGAGGCGATAAATTTTATTGGTTTGATTCCGGCCAGGGGCAAGATTTTTTTAGTGTGAGAAATCTAATTTTCGGACTATCTTTAGTCTCATTTTTTTGAGAACACACTTTCCAAATCCTGCCATTTTTGTCCGGTTGAAGCAACTTTTTCGTAGAAAACAAATTTTGTTTTTCATCATTTTTTTTATTTTTGATAATTTTTGTGTTTTCGCCGAATTGGATTTTCTTGCTTCAACTTTTCCAGTTTTTATTTTATCCGCTTAGTGACCATAATATGGCTTAATTTGAAAGGTGAATATAGAATAAGTAGCGTGTTTCAAGAGAAATTAAGACGGCTTACAATATTCAGCTGCAGAAAATTATAGCTCAACATTTTAAATTGACAATATCTTTGTAACTTAACAGGCATCCACCCAAAAATTTTCGGTTTTATTGCCATCCAGTGAATTTTGTAAGTTCATATCTATTTCTGTTACTCTTCATGCTTTCTCAACGTGTATCTAACTACAGACAAATGCATTAATTTTTAGTTTCAGCCGTTTATTTTTCAACTAATTTAGTTTGCTAGTTTTATATATAAGTTTTTGGTTGCATTTTGCATTGTTTGGGTGGTTTTGGGGAACCTAGACATCTTCATGAATTTTGTGCAGTTTTTTTTTCTTAAAAACATTGTTTTTCTCGACGGGTGTCTGGAAAGTTTTTTCCACCATCCTACCGCATGTTTAAGTTTATTCCGAAAGTAATCAATTTTTTTAATTGGTTTAGTTTGGGTAATTTCCAATGAAATTTTATTTCAATGAATTTTTATTCGATATAAATCAAAACAAATAAAAAAAACTTGTAGATCTAGTTTCTTGTCCAATTTAGAAGCTTTTCTCAGCTTGTTTGTATTCTATTGCATGTACTGCAAAGCTCCGCTTGCACCTGCATCAGAAATATGATTGCACTTGATAGAAGAATTTCGAAAAAAAAATGTTCGCGTTTTCTTTGTCGCTTTTCGATTATTGATTTTGCAATAAAGTCCGTGATTTTTAGTTTTTAGTTTAGTTTTACAAATGTGGCGAGTCCCCCTCCCACAAAAAGGGACGAGCCCCCCTGACTGGATAAGGTCGATGGTTTTGAATCAATTTTGGGTTGAAACCATCCTCCGAGGATGCAGGGGGCTGGGAAACTTTCAATTTTTCTCTGGATCAGTTCAAAAACGCCTAGCATGGAACACACGAAAGCCAAAAGTTTGATGGAGGAATGGCACAGAAATTTTCAGATGGGGATGTGGTGTACTGTACAAGCATTGCCATTCAAAATTTTTCCAATTACTGAGAAAAGAACAAATCCTGTCGGATAAAAAATAATTGCAAATAACTGCATGATAAAGTGCCGCCAAGGTGCCAAAATACAATAAAAGCCCAGCCAACTTAATTGAACTCCTTAAACATTATCGCAGTATTACTAATCTGAAGCAACTTGATGGTCTCTCGTTCAATTTTGATGTTTAGTTTCTTTACTCTTCAATTTAAGCGTTTCATCGTAACTCTGTTGATCTGATCAATTTTTTAGCCGTACTAATTTTCGCTTGCTACGAGTTGTCACGTGCTGCGAATAGTAGCCTTTTACGAATGCTACGAATTTTCACTTGCGATGAATTGTCGCTTGCGATGTATTGTCACCCTACCAAAAACGCATCGAAAGAAAATCAAGTTCGAAACATAAAATTCTCTGAGGCTACGATGTTCTAACCCAGAAATCGCGACGGAGAACTACACTGTTTAACCACCCCAGCTTGTCATCTTTACATAAAAATTTTCACGTGTTATATTTTACTTGATAAAGCAGTGGAAATACGTATCAACAGTGTAATTAGCCTACTAGAAAAATAAATTCTGCACAAAACAGCATCAAAAAATGTGACTTGCGGAAGTGAAAATTTTTTTTTTGAAATACCCTTACTGGAGTGAGCGTATTTTCTAGCCATTTTACATTAGTGAGACAATATTTTGGACTATGGTCCCGATTGCCGAAACTAATGTTTTTCATATATGCCTGCTTTTATTTTGGATGATTTATAAATTTTATCAGCATCACCTAAGGGGGATTTTTCTCATCGACGATCCAGCATCATCGTAAGCGACAGACCTACGTCAATTGATGGCTGGTTTGTCGTGATTAGACTTGTGCCAAAAAATCTGGTGCTTAATTTCACTGGCACACTTCATTTCGCAAAACTTTTTATTTTAATGTCCAATTATCTTGGATTAGAATTATAAGAAGGATAGACTAGCTGTTAATAAGTAACTCGACAAATTTAACCGTGAAAGTGTCAACCGGAAGTTTTTAAAGAGTATCTTCGATATATAAAAACTACAACCTTAATAATTGTAAATATAATGGCTAAAATTAGCTTGCTTCATGGTAAATACTTGTCAATTAATTCTACGTATTAGTTAATCCAAGGTTGTCTAAAAGTAGAACATCAATTAACTATGCTCAATTAATTTGCGTCCATTGAATTGATTTCCTGGTGCTGAGTTACACCTTTTAGACTATTACGCTTCCGCTTTCTAAAACGAAAACTGGAACAAAAATGTGACTGTCAATTCAAATCCTTGATTGTGCCATCTGAACCTCAGTAATAGACAGTTTGTTGGTGCAATATAGGCATTTTAAAAAAATCAGTTTTCGAAAATTTTGTCTTGATTTTTCAGCCCCTAGCTAATATTTATTTTCAAGTGATTTAATCTGGGCCTGCTATGGAAGTATTGGGGAAAACACGATTTCATTAATTCAAATTCAAATAATTGATTTTTTATGAGCATTAGTTCGTCGCGCTAAAATTTTTGAAATTTAAGTTGAGAAATGTCGATAAATGCAGGGGCGGATCTAAGATTTTCTCGAGGGGGGGTGCAGATTTTCAAAAAAAAAAATCGAAAATTTTGTCGACCTTTTTTTAGGTCGACCCAATTGATTTTCTGAGCCTTCCCAAATCACTATAAATAGACCCATTTTGACCAAATTTATCTGCGCCGCCGGCAAGTTTTTGAAAAAACAGGCCAAAAAAGGCGTTTTTAGGCAGTTTTCGGAATTTTTTGACCAAAAAATTGAGTTTTTTCGGCGCGCGCTCCTCCCTCAGAAAGTGGTGTATATTGGCGCCGAAGGGTACTTTGCCAAAAATATATATCTCAAAATAGTACAAATGGGGACTCTTTGGTTCGGCAGTGGGTCGAAACCCTGAGAGGGGGTCCGCCCCCTCCCCCCTATATCCGCTACTGGTAAATGTATCCAGTATTTTTCCCATTTTGTCATTTTTCAAATCCTATTAATTTACAAAACATAATTCAGGTAGATATTTTGTTCTTTTCAGCTTTTATTTATTATTCAGAGGATTGGTGGTGAAGTGCATAATATCTCTTCTTCTCATTCGAAAGGTCGGAAAGGTCGCTTGTTTGTGATCCACCAAGATTTGGAACCGATTCGTGAGTTATCAGCAAAAAAAAGAACAATAAGAACTGGTTGAAATTTTTGGGCAAGAACAGGAAAATAAAACGCCTCAAGCAGGAATGATTAATTCGTAAGCTGTCCTTTCCCTTGTAGACAACTGGTATTGAAAATTTTATCTAAGTTTAATAGCATAAATCTAAATAAGGCAGCTCGAATCGGGTTCAAGCCGGAGATGCTATGGCAGATTTTGAACACTGTTTTTCAAATTAGCTTTGATTTAAATAATTATCGTTCGTGTTGTAGATGGAAAAAAAACTGA